ATTATATTACCTGCTGAAAGGTATATTAAGAGAATTCCATCGGAAGGAAGCTCCTCGGACACTGTCCCCAAGACCTAAAGACATGCAATATTATAATTTTTTAAATGAAAGATTTACAAATTATATTGGATTGTATGAATATTATTGCAATTTTACCGTGGCACAATAAAATGAATACTCACAGCTAGGAAATGTGTGACACATGGGCGAAACAAGATGGCTTTTCTTGGATTAGGTGGCAAAGTCGGATCGGTTATATCCTGATTGACTCGACTATGTCCAGACACTCCATTTTGAGTAACGCCAGATCCAGTTACAATAGTGGGACCCACGCTCGACTGATAAAACGAACCGCTCGGTTCCCACTCTAAAGTTTGTAGCATCCTAAAAGTGTCGAGTGTGAGCTCCGAAAACTTTACCTGGTTCGCAACAAAGAGGAATAAATAATATTTGAGATTAAACTATTTTTAGATATTAAATTTTTTTTCTGTGGGCTCCAATAAAGAATAAAGTCAACGCAAACCTCGTTTGGATGGTAACTGCACAGTAAAGCATCTCTTAGTCTTAGCTTTCGTTTGGCATCGGGAACTTGTGGGAGATTATCTGGATGAAGTTCCAATACAACGCTGTACCTTAAAGGCCTTATATTCATAAATGATGTGTCGGCTTTTAGGATTTCACTATTTCTTGAATTACGAGCTTCCATTCTTTAAAGTCGGTTTCCTGGAATAAGACCACAATAATAAAATAAAATAAATAATAATAAAAAAATTAAAAAAAAAAAAAGAACACATCACGATATCACAATACACATAAATCATACGCTAACAATCAAATACGTAGACAAGAAAGATGACCTGAAAAGTCCTTTTGCATTCGTCAAGCAACATTTTAAGCTGATTAACCAACTGGTAGACCATTTCTCGGCGGTTCAACACCAAACAAACTGTCAGAAACCGAGCAAGAAACCTCAACTGTTTGCTGGCAAGATTCACATCCTGATGTAACCCGTCCTTGAAATACTCCCTCGTCAAGATTGCCTCGTAGAATATGTAAGATTCCGACAAGAAATTTGCCTCACTAGTTCTCATGTACTGTCCGAAGTAAAGCTGTCCTATTCGAGAGGCAATTTCACCTATCTCCCATCTCTTTAGCCCAGATTCAACCAGCTTCTGTCGATTTTCTTGTTGGAATTTCCATAGCTGAGTGTAGACTTTAAATACTTTATAGAAGTATGTATCGTATCTGGAATTTCATAAGAAAAGAAACATCGTCTCGGTTTCACTAACACAACAACGTAATAATGGACCAGAAATCCAAATATCAAGGTAACTACTACTCTTACATATTGAACACGGAAAATAATCGAACACTATTCACCAAGCCCTAATTAATCGAAAAATCGATGCTAGGTAAAATATCCATGTTGTGTATTCTGTAGTCCGTGCCCAAAATCGAGCTTAAAACCCGAACATTGTACGATAATCTTCGCAAATAAACATGGTAAAATGTGATCATTCATGTGATTAAACCTAATTTCAAGACACATTTCTACCGGACGTATTGACACTACAAAAGCAATAATCAAACACATGAGCTCGGATGAAAAAAAA